CGGTATTGAGATGTTTCCATGGTGACTAAAACGATCATGGCGTCCTTATTTTTATAAGTCGTTAAAAGTGGACTTGATTATGTACCGGTCGAATAGAGGGCGTATTGATSGATCCTAGGAACCGTTATCGGATATTGAATTATGGCCGTGGTTAAATCCACAGAGAGGATTGCTGTGTTGTGCTCACACCCCTTTCCTCACTTTTTCCTGAGTGGACTGATCATCCTTTGGGAACAATGCGTCCTCGTGATGCAGTTTGGTCTTCGGACCCTTGACATGCTTTTGGGGGCATTTTGACTTTCTTTTGGATTATCACTTGGCATTATAAATTGTTTTTGAACTTGTTATCTCATATTCATTGTTTATTTATATTATCATCCGTTCACTAAGCATTAAGCTCAGCCGAGATTTTCTTGTCCTCGGCAGGTACATGAGTTAGCAGGGATTTTGGGATGAGAGCAACGGAGATGATAATATTGAAGATAAATCATTAAGTCATACTTTTGTTAAACTTTTGATGACTAGTGTAGATATACTGATATTTTGGGACCGTATTTTGAGACACGTTATCTCCGTCTATGGTTATGTAATTATCTTTTGGTAAATTTTATTAACTGTTGTGTTTTATATAGCATGTTGTTTTATCCTAATTGTGGCATCTCCCGTCTTTGACCATGCGGGACGGGGGTGTTACAAGTTGTGGTATCAGAGGTATAGGTTATGATCCTGTAGTACAATATAGGTTTGATCTAAAAGGAATGGGTAGAACTAAGATAAGACTATGCTAAGCCTTATACAAGTTAACTATTTGAAATCTCGTATGCTTTGTTTCTTTTTGAAATTAATCGAGCAAATGGTTTCCTATTATTTGTGTTAGTTCCAAATGCCGCCAAGAAGAATACCGACAATAACAGATAGACCTAGAAGAAGCCGAACTGGGCCTGAAAATGAAACAAATCTTCTACCAACAACTCAACTTGATCCTAATGTGATGGCAGCTGTCCACCAAACAGTTAGCGACATGCTACCAGGTATTATAGCACAGACGGTGGAAGCATTGCGTCAAACTGGCCAAAACCCGAATCCTAATACTGGGGACTACGGACCAGAACACAGGTGATAAGTCCAGAAATCATACAAACATGAAGCAATCTTCAAGAATCATGATGAACATCAAAGATAGAAAGAATATGATCAAAGGATGATTAGATTGAGAAAGAGAGAGAATTACAACACTAATCTTGATAATTCTGTTAATGACGATTGTTAATGACAATTACAAGGAAATCACTATTTATACTAGGAAATAGTAAAGGCTAAACTATTACAAAACAATTACACTAAGGAGAAACTTGAATACAACTTTAAGCCCTAACTTGAACCCAACATTCTCCCCCTTTGGATTCAAGTTTGGACCCTTGTGAATTTCGTTTTTCGCAGTCCAAGGATTTTCTCTAACCTTCTCAGAGCGTTCCTGTACTGAATCTTCTCCTCGAGCAAATTTATGGCATTGACCAATAAGTATCTTTCTTTGGAACTCATTCGTTCAGATTCAGCAGCCTTTTCGTCCATCACCCTCTTCAAATCAAGTGCCCTCCTTACTAGCTTGATCGTACCGTCAGAATATTTATTCAAGATCATCCAAATATAAGTTCGAGAAGTCAGCTTCGCTGAACCTCCAAATCTGGCCATCCTGTCTTGTGACTGTAAAAACAGGATACCAAATTCTCAATAATTTTTGAGCATCTATCTGTTTGATCGTTACAATTCTATGCTTGGTACGTACTTCATTGACTGGTTGGCACTTGGCTTTCAGAAGGTGACGATATTCAATTCGGTACTCTTTTGGCTGCTTGTGGATTCCAAGAACTCTATCACCACTTAGCATTTTTCTGTGACGAATGAATATTCCAAAGTAGATGTCTTCTAAGTACGGCTCTCAGATTCTTTCACGTTCATAACCAGGAATGTTTGCTCTGATATGAAAAGGAACGTAATTTTTCGTGAAGATTTCAGTAGAATCAACAGTTTCTCTTTGAACAGTGACTTCTGGTACATCAGGTAAAGCAGCAGTAGACGATTATGGAATACTCTGACGATCACCTTGAATGGGAAAAACTGGATCTTCTTCATCTAAATCAGCTTCAAAATCAAAATAAATTCCAGTTGTCTCGTCAATGTTATCAAAATCTTTTCCAAAATCCTGCTCTCCACCCAGAGTAGTATAGAAAACACTGTTGAATCCTACATTGGCAGACAAGTCCATTAACAACCTTGTTTCTACCGTAGAGTCCGCCGGCTTTTCAACCATTGGCTCGATTCTTGGACTTGTCTTCACATCTTCATCTTCAATAACAACAGCCTCAATAATTCTTTCCCG